GCCAAGCAAAAATATTTAAAAAAAATTTTTTTTTTAGGTTTTTGCCAAAGTGCACATGCACTTTCCAGGGAGAGACAGAAAGAGAGAGAGAGAAAAAAAAAACATTCCCCCAGGGAGGATTGCCACACTGAAGTCCCTTCTCCATTCTCCTCCTGGGATTTTGGGCATGTACATACCTGCTCCCAGTGTGATTTTCAGTCCACTGTGTCCGGAATTCAGACTGTAGTAAGCCACGTGGGAATCCAGCTCCTTAACCACCATGCCACCTGCTGGCCCAAGGGATTTATTTTTGATTTCTCTCTATATCATGTTTGTTTTTTTCCATTTTTGTAGTCTAGTCACAATATAATACCATTAAATAATTTTGATGAAACATCCATAGTATCATTGTTGTAAAATTTTTTTCATGTTTTCATAAGATTTATGCAAACCACATATATGGTTTTATATTCTGTTCCTCTCATTTATTAGTTTTTATTTGACTTTTTAACATATATTTATTTTTATACCTACAGTTTACTATTTTTATAAGAATATATGAAATTCATTTGTTTTTGTATCTCCAAAAATTCTTTCCCCATCTTCTTTGTAGTTCTGCTTATCTTTGCTGCCTATTAAATCAGGAAGTTAGGGGTAATTGGGAGATACCAATCAAAGGACACAAAATTTCAGTTAGATAGGAATAAGTTCAAGAGACTTATTGTACCCCATGGTGACAACAGTTAATAATAATATATTGTACATTTGAAAAGTTGAGAGAGCAGGTTTTAAATGATCTCCCCACCAAAAAAAAAAGTTAGGTGAGGAAATATATATGGTAAAAAACTGATGTGCGCAGCCCACAATGTATACATTTAAACATGTTTTATACCATAAATATATATTTTTTTCTGGTTCATTAAAATGGTTTTAAAAAATTAAGTTGGGTGTCCTCCAGACTTGTACCCTCTATCCCTTCCTCTTTTAATACACCATCTCAGTCATCTTTCCTATGTCCCCTGACATCGAAATCTTTAGCTCCAGCCCAAAGTTTACCTCTGGGTTTTCAGAAACACATTTACAGCTTCTTACTGGTTCTCTTTACCTATTCCTTAGGCATTTCAAATAGTTCATCACATTTCCTCAAACCCGTTTGTTCCAGGTCATCTAGAATCCTCCCCTCCTCCTTAATCTCCCTTCTTCTCCCCAGCCAAGTTCTGTAAACTGTATTAACACTTCAAAGATATCTATCCTCTCCATTCACTCTGCTTTCCATCAGCTTAGGCCTTTATTTGTTACTTAGACACTGACACTATGCTCTTAAAAATTTCCTAGCCTTGTGTCTGGCCATTCCATGAGTCGTCCTCCACAATGTTGTCTGATAAATCTTTCTAAATTATAAATCTGATCAGATCACTTCCTGTTGCTCATAACTGTGCTGCCCAGTGTGTTAGCCACAAGTCACATGTGACTGTTGAACACCTCAAACATAGCTAATCTGAACTGGGTGTGTGCAAGTAAACACACTAGGTTTCTAAGACTTAGTCTGATAAAAATAACATAAAATATTTTATTAGTTTTTTATGTATTTGTTTAAATATTTATTTATTATTTTAAAATCAATTTCACTAATTTCTGTTTAGTTTTTCAATCATGAATACTAGAATATTTAAAATTATTTACATGACTCATATTTGGGGCCTGCGCTATAGATGGTCTCAACTTATGATTCAATTTAAGATTTTCCAACTTTACAATGGTGTGTAAGCTATTTGCATTCAGTGAAAACCATACATAGAATTTTGATCTTTTCCCATGTAAGTGAGATCCAGTGCTATTATATATTTTCTGATGATGGGCCGTGAGAACTAGCTTCACCTCCCAGTCTGCTTCCAGTCAGCCACACAATCATGAGGGTGAACAACTTGCATTCTACAGTGTACTTTATTACCAGCATTGTTTGGATGGTGTGTTTTGTGTTTTTGTATCTCATCATGTCTATGAAATGCCCCTTTTCAACTTAAAATATTTTCAACTTACAATGGATCTAGTAAGACTTAAGTTGAAGAGTGTTTGTATACCTATTGGACAGTGCTGGCTGATAGGATGGTATTCACACCCAATTATCATAGAAGTATGATCTTTTAGGCCAGCAGGTAGTGTGGAGGTTAGTTTTTGGATCCCACATGGCCAACTGTGTGATTTAAGTACCGGACCTGGCAGCTTGAAATACACATTGTGTGTGTGCCCAGCATCCTGAGAAGAGAATGGAGGAGAAGGGATTGTGGCATGCCCCCTAGGGATGATTTCTCACTTCCCCTCTCTGTGTCTCTCTGTCTGTATCTCCAGCAAGTACATATGCCCTATAGAAAACTCAAAAAAGGGAGAAAAATAAAAAAGAAGTATGATCTTTCATCACCTGGCCATCATATGCCTAGTCCATTTCAACTTCTGCCAGCTATCATGCAAAGAGGGCTGGCCTTGGCATCACACTGATCTGGGTTCATGACTGGGCCTTTACAGATAGATGCCAGCTGTGTGATGTCTAAATTTCAGTCTTGCCAGCTGAAAAACAAAGATTAACACCTACCTCAATGTGCTATTATAATGTTTAAAAGATGTAACAAATGTGAAGTTTCTACTGAATAAAATTTAATTCTCCTGGGTACATTCTAGCCATGCCAAACTATATTTAGTTCTTTTTTTTTTTCAATTGAAAAGAGCAGGTTGGGAACCAGCAGTTAGCGTAATGGCTATGTCGCTGGACTCCCATGCAGTCGACCGCGGTTCGCATCCTGGACTCGGTGGCTTAAAACTCATGCCGGACGCGTGTGAGTGCGTGCCCAAGATCCCAAGAGGAATGGAGGAGAAGGGATTGCAGCGTGACCATCCCCCCTGGGGGGTGATTTCTCGCTTTCTGTCTCTCTGTCTCTCTCTGTCTTTCTGGTGAGCGCACACACCCTATTGCGAAAACCTCTACAAAAAATTAAAAAAAAGAAAAGAGCAGGTTGACTAGCCACAGTGCAGCCATAATAATGCAGTGCTCCCTGATATTGGAGCCATGTGGGGCAGTCTGGGTTCACAACCCTAGGTCTCCCTATAAATGCCAGACTTACATGTTTATGCCCATGATCCGGGCTGGCTAAGGCTGGGAGTGTATGGTGTAATGAATACTCTGTTAGAAGGGACTCTCTGTCTCTCTGTTTCTCTCTCTCTCTCCCACTTCCTGTCTCTGTCTTTCTCTGTCCCATAGAAGAAATTAATAAATAAACTTAATCAAGTAAAAAGTAGGTGATAGCTTAGATTTGTCTGTGACCTTAATGAGTATTAACAGTATACAAACCCCTTTCCCTATGTAGTTACTGAGGCTATATTTTCTTTTTATTTTTTTTTCCTGCTTTTGTCAAATATTAGATCTGAGAACCTGTTTCCCTTCATTTTTTTCATTGAGTATCCTGTCCTAGAATTTCTTTCTTTCTTTTTTTCTTTTTTTCTTTTTCTTTTTCCTTTTTTTTTTTTTTTTGAGGGGTTTTTGCTTTAGGCCGCATGTGCTCCTCAGAAAGACAGAGACAGAGAGATAAAAAGTGAGAAATCACCCCCCAGGGGGGATGGCCACGCTGCAATCCCTTCTCCTCCATTCTCCTCTTGGGATCTTGGGCACGCACACACACACACACGCGCACCTGGAGTGAGTTTAAGCCGCCGGGTCCAGGACTCAAACTGCGGTCGACTACAGAGGAGTCCAGCGACGTAGCCATTATGCTAACTGCTGGTCCCCTAGAATGCCTTTTAAAGGAATAAATTGTTATAACATTTAAGGCATCTCAAGTTAAATAAAGAGCATTATCAAAAAAGATTTTTTTTGCTTTTGTCCCATGAGAGAATTTTTTTCTCTGTGATCTGATACCCTCTCATTAGTCCTTTAAACAAGATAGGATTTACATTTAACCTTGGGATAGTTTCAGGAACAGTGTCTGCTCCCTTAGTCCTCCCTTTTTCTCTTAACCCTCTTGCCTACCATCTCCCCACAACCCACACATTTTTAGCCACCACTCAAAGTAGCCACCTAGTTAGAGTCTTTTTCATCAGCTAACCAGTCGAAAAGAAAGGTCTTGGCTCACTGCAGATTGTCCACAATGTAGGAGAAAATTTCTGGCAATTGACACCTTGAGATGAATGCTCTAACAAATCTTAAACATTGTTTTTTTTTGTTTGTTTTTGGTTTTGTTTTGTTTTGTTTTGTTTTGTTTTGTTTTTTAATGACAGGAATTTTCAAAGATAGGGTGAAATGTGTTAAATGCTATTACTGTTAGGAATGTCCGCGGATATCTTTTGAGTACTCTACTCATGGCTTCTTAACGGTTCTATCCCATAGGAAAAGTTTAGACACACAACAGCATTTAAAAAGGAAGCAAGACTCAGGCTAATGTCTCTCAAATGTAAAATGTGGCCTATCAGGTGATTTTGTCGCCTTTTCTTTATACAATGTCAGCATTTCAAAATGGGTAAAGGATATGGATTAGGTAGGAATTGAATGCAAATGTGTTTTGCAAATAGTGTCTTTTGAGATAATCGTAGATGATGGTTGAATGCTGAAGGTATTAATACAATCAGTATTTAACCTTGTGTAACTCTGCTTCATCAAATCACACCCTGCACATTGATTGCATTAAACCGGGTCAGTGGTTTCTTGCTTAGGAATATCTTATAAGAATTTTAACAGGAAGGCAGCAGTAGCTGATCAGCTACTGTTTATTTGCATACTGAGCGTGTCATCAATAATACAAAAGACAAGGTCTTTAAGTTGAAAGAACAGTGGGATTGGCATGAATTTTGCTTAATGGTGCGTAATAAGCAAAGTAGTCTGTGGTGCCAGAAACTGACAGGATCCATTATGTTAAAACAGATATATGTCTTTAATTTAGGAGTATTATGTAAATCTGACAGGAGTTTTTCCCTTTATTTTCCTGTAGTTTAACTTTAATTGCACCAAGATTAATTCCGATTTCTCTCTTCTCCAGAGGGTGATGAGACTGGCGTGATGGATAATCTTCTAGAGGCCCTACAATCCGGTGCAGCATTCCGAGACCGCAGAAAGCGGATTCCAAGGAATCCAGGTAAAGCATATTCCAGCACACCTGATGCTGTAACATGTGAATGTTCAGAGCAAAGTAATAAAAAACAAAAAGGAAAAAAAAATAAAAAGCTACCTCATGAGGACTTTTTTTAAGCAGCTGATCTCAGTTCATGTGTGAAATCTCAGAAGACTTCTTTCTATATCTACATGATTGCAAGTTTCAACTTGGTAACTGTATCTTCCAATAACTGTAGTTAAAAAAAAAAAAGGAAAAACTGGAAACAAGGACTCCCACTGCATTTAATACCAAATGCTTTTGTTACTTTATGTGCATATGGTTTGGGTGCAAGGTGGTTTAAACAATAAGTGTAATTAAATCATTAAAAGTAATTGACTCTAGGGACTGGCAGGTGCCATGGTGGTTAAGGGTGCTGGACTCCCACATGGGATACCTTGATTTGAGTCCTGGACCTGGCTGCTTGCTTTCTCACTTTCTCTCTATATATCCTGGTCAAATTTAAATAAGTAAATTAAAAGTTAAATAAAATAATTCTTTTCAAAAAGTAATTGACTCTAAGGATGATACATTAGCTATTCACAGGTAAGGAAACTGAGACCACTTATTTCTAGAGGCCATTTTGATTTTGCGATATAGTCTATTCTTTATTATTCATGTTAATAAAGGGAGAAGAGGCCCAGATATTTCAGGATTCCTGCAAATCCCATCGAAACAAGTTTTGTTGTGTGTGTTTGATTAGTGACAGATAAAGCCACACT